TGCACTGGGTGAAAGGTTAATGAAGAAGAGATGTTTGTTTACATGGTCTCAACATTTTATCCACACATTACTTATTACCTGCCCTTAATTGTGATTACTAATGACTAATCAATTATTAGATATCCAGAATAGGCAAATCTATAGAGACAGAAAGTAGATGAGCGATTTGTAGGGTCTGAGAGAGGCAAATGGAGAGTGACTGCATATATATATGGAGTTTCATTTATAGGCAATGAAAATATTCTAAAATTAGTGCTGATGGTTATGCAACTTTGTAAAATATTAAGAACTACTGAATTGTACATTTTAAAAAAGATGGATTTCATGATATATAAATTATATATTTTAAATGTTGGTATAAAAAAGGAGGGCATCTGATGCATACTATCATAACCAAATGACCAGATTCAGTTTCACTAATAAGGAGGAACACTAACCTGCTGTGTATCCTAGTGGGATGAAATGAGAACCGTGCCACAGCACATCTGAAAAAAAAATTTAAATCAGAAATAAAACATTATCCAGTCATGAGAGGACAATTAAAATATTTCAGATAATTAGCCTTGACTCTTAAATATAACGTCAGTGCCATGAAGGACCACGCAAGACTGGGAGATTGTCCTGGTTCAAAGGAAAGTAAATTCAATCATTGATCTCAGTTTGGACTTTGACATTACTGAGACTCTTTAATATGGACTGTAAACTAGATAATATTCTTGAACTAATGTTAAATTTCATGATAGTGGTGATATGATTATGATTATATAGAAAAATGTTCTTAGGGCATACAGGCTGAATCTTTAGGAGTAAATTTATGTACACAAACATTTTAAGAAAATACATTTTTAATAGAAGAGAGAGAAATGAATCTGGCAAAATAGTGATTGCTGAACCGGGTGAAGGGTACATATATGATTATTTTAATAGTCTTTCAATTCTTCTGTGAATTTGGGAAAATGTACAATGTTGAGGTGGAGGGGAAAAAATCATTAATGAGAAATTTCAGGTGAACCTGAAATGACAAAGAATAAAAATGAATTACACACACTCCGTGTTTGACTTTCCATACGTTGTGGTATTTACTGATTGATTTATCATACTAAAATATTCATAGTTTGTGCATGACAATCATATCTAAAATGGTGGGAGGTAGAGAGCAGTCAGAGTTGTCCTTATCCTCTCATTTTGCATTGTCCCCTAGGGTACAGCAGTACCTTTTGTTTCCATACATACTGCAGACTTTCTACCTCTAAGAATTTTCATGTGTCCAACAAGAGAATTTGTTTATGTTGATTTTGTAAATGCTTTTCCCTTAGAATCCAGGAGAATATCTATAGCTTCCAAAAAAGGCTTTTATTTAACCAGCTTCATATAGGAACTTACATAATTTAACATTATTAGAACAGCCAGAAGTATTAAAGTATTACAATTAAAAATTAAAGTATTAAAATGCATGTTGTTAAATGAGATGATTGCTAGAAGAAGGTAGTGAAAAATGTTTTGTTTGTAAGTGCTTACATCCATCATCGTATATATGACTCTATCCTAACCTGGTAACTTTGAGTATATGTGCAGCAAGGCACATCTGGAAGTTAACCATTCTCATGCAGTGGCCAAGAGCATAGCATTGTTTCAGGTATGTTGAACTTGAACTTGTCTCTCTTTTTCCTGATTGTGTGACTTTAAACAATTGTTGACTTTTTCTGGATCTTGCTATTGCAACCAAAGTCTGAGAAAGTTAATAATATACATCCTCAAAGAATGTTGAAAAGATTTATGTAAATGAAATAATGCATTTTAGATGCCCAGCACAGTAGCTGCCACAAATAGTTCAAGTCTATTTCCATCACCACCAACATCTGCATCATATCAACTCCATTGCCAGGAATGTCCATCCTGATTTTTGAGCATTGGAACAGTCCATCCTGATTTTTGCACATTGGAACTCTTCTAAATCACTTGTGCCTGAAGGTTGCTATTTAAATCTCCAAATGGAATTGAAACGGATAGTGTCAGCGTCGCTTCACTATTACTGTACAATGTTATAGTCATTTTACTATTACTGTAATTTCGAGTATTTTTAGAGTAAATTGTCTACCACTAACGGTTCCTGGCTATATGGATTGATATAGAGAATATCTATATATAAATACCATAATAATACCATTGATATAGAGAAGATCTATATGTAAATAATACCATCTATAAATAATACCATTATTCTCTTAATAAGGTACCCTGTTTTACAAAAAAATATTTTTGTTAAAATGTAGAGTATTAATATTATTGACTGCAAGTCTCTTTCCTGTTTTAATGTATGTTTAATAATAGTGATATTAACTATTCCCATGCTGTGTAAGTTGTATAATTTCTATATCATGATGCTCCATAGAAGAATGTAGTTAAATGAATTTTGTATATGCTGGTTATTCTTTACTCCAAGGAGTATCTGAAATCAATGTTATATCTGCAACAAACTAGTTTTATAAGAGAAAAATTAGAATATTTATTCCCATTTCATTCCCTAAATGAATTTTATTTCAAACTTATTTTCTTTGGTTCTGTACCATTTTATAATTGTTTCTAGTGGAACACCTGGGTGGCTCAGCGGTTGAGCATCTGCCTTTGGCCCAGGGCATGATCCCAGGATCTGGGATTGAGTCCCACATCAGGTTCCTAGCAGGGAGCCTGCTTCTCCCTCAGCCCGTCTCTGCCTCTCTCTCTCTCTGTGCCTCTCATGAATAAATAAACAAAATATTATATATATATATATATAAAATTGTTTCTAGTGATACTTCATCTTTCATGTGTTCATGTGGTTGTTGCATTGGGGAAAGCTGTCCACAAGCTAACTTTTAGATGAAGATTCAGGGATGTGTGGTTTTCTTAAGGAAGAACTTTCAGGAAAAAACAAGGTAGCAGAACACGGAATCAGTCATCCCAAATAAAATGAAACTTAAATCAGATTCAGAGTTCCAACCTCAGCTTGATCCCATGGGATCCTCTGGAGATGAAGTTATACCACAGAATTTTTGTCCTATTTGAAGCAAAAAGCCTGGGCTTTTAAACTCCTGCACCACACAGGGATTGGCTCTAGCATTCCCCCCGGGATCATAAACTCCCAAGGCAATTGAAGCTTTCAGCAGCTCTGGCAATCCAACATTGGTTCTTGAAGGTGACAGTTACCCCACCATGTCCACCCAGAGGATGCGAGCCCGGCACAAAGATATTACATTCTTGGGGATAAGGACCAACCAGCATTTGCCAGGATTTACTGGAGTAGTCTTTTTTCCCTTTCTATTTTTTCTCTTCCTTTAATCACGGTTAAAGCAAAAAAAGCATATTTGCTTCTAAGATAACAATGATGATGGTATCTATAGATAAGCTATGTTATTTAATCTGAAAAATATTAAACAGAGTTGGTCAGTTAATGGAATCTTGATAACATAGCATAAATACATAATATGTAGAAATAATGATTCATACTATCAAGGAATTTTAAATTTCATTTTAAAAAGGACATCCTATAGAAAAAAGAATTACAGTGTAGAAATATAATTTAATCCTGACTAGGGCAATCTAACGTGTTTAAACGTGTTTAGGATGATGGAATAGATGTTTAGGGTTGGTCAAACAAGACAATGTTGAATACGTATAGTTTGCATAGTATCTTAATGCACGTTAGTTGGTAAAGAAAAACAGAATGCATTCCTTATGAGAAAATATGCAGAACTGAGGTGAAAATCAATTCATTTACATATAACGTGTTTATTTTAATGTCCCTGACAGCTCAAAGTATTTTAGCTACAAAGTTTTTCTTAGTCTCATCCTACCCTGTATTTTATTTGTATCAACTTAGATTATAACACAGATTTTATCATTTCACCTTTTCAGTGGCCATAAGCTACAGAGAAGGGCTAATATGATACATAGCTGATTCATGAGTAGAATTATCTTGATAAATACTATATGCAAAAGTCAAACCAATAATCCAGTATTACAGTGGTATAGATATAAAATATAGTACTTCTATTAAAAGATCAGTTGGGGGCGTCTGACTGGCTCCATCAATAGAGTGTATGACTTGTAATCTCAGGGTTTTGAGTTCAATCCCCATGTTGGGCGTGGAGACTACTTTAAAAAAAAAAAAGTTGGACTAGGACAGAATTGTCACATAAATTGGCCAAGCCCAATATAACCTTAGAATGTTTTGTGGCTCTTATTAGTAAGAAAGTTTAAAATACTCTTATAAAATAGTTTAATAGTATGCCGGTTGTGGAATGTATTAATACTTTACTGGCTGAATAACTTCTGTAGTATTGCATTCAGTTCTCAGATGCATTTAAAGGACAAACACAAAAGATCATCTCAAGAAGGTAGATGATACATGAAATTTTTGGAGTCCTTGCAGTTGAAAGAAACCTTGAATGTTCTAAATGTTTTCAATTTAAAGAAGAGAAAGCCTAGAAAAGATACAATGATTGTTTTTAAGTATTTGAAGGAATGTAATGGGGTCCAATGATAGATTTTATTTTCCGTTGCCCTGAAACCAAATGTCTGAGGGTATAGCTCTCCAGATATGAAATAGGTTGTCTGAGTGTCACCATGGTAGTGTCTCCCTAGTAGTGTCATCTGAGGCTAGATAGCATTTTTCAGGGATTCTAGAAAAGAAGAAGGTGAGTAAATTAACTCTGAAGTTCCTTCAATTCTAACATTTCCTGAATCTGTTTGAGAACCTGTTTAATTACAAGCTGTGTTCTAGAGCATACTTGACAGTGAAATTTACCATCTCTGTTAAAAGCTTTAAAAGTAAATATTCCTAAACCATTAAAGTAGATACAGTAGGTGGTTAAGAAAAACAAAGTAGGTAGACAATTCGAAAATGATGAATAATTCATGTCTTAATCATTTAAGCCATCCAGGGTACTTAGAAAATATTTCATTGTATTTACTGCATCTGACAATTTTATTTTATTGAAATGCAATGTTTTCACTTTTAGGTTTTCGCTTCCAGTTACTGCAACAGCAGAAAACTGTCTTCTTACTATTTACCCATATATGGCAACTCATCTTGATAAGCAAACAATTATTTTAAAGGATGGTAAGTTAGATATAACTATTGTCTCCTAGTCTTACTGTATATGTTCTTGTTATCCACAGTTGACACCTAGAAGTAAAGTGACTTTAAAATTAACTAATATTTATCAAACTCCTGCCATTTCTAAGAGCTGCAGTTATCATTGAGAGTAGAATATGGCAGTGTCTCTTAATTGCAAAAGTTGAAAATCTAGTAAAAGATACAAATAAATAAATACAAAGGTGTTTGAAGTAAGAGCCAATTGTAGTGTTGGAACTGTGGGTGTGGTATAGAGGCTAACATTGATGTTTGGGGTCTGGGATAACTTTAGAGAAGAGAGGACATCTGTGTAGAGTTTGACAAATGGTCCTAAACAGCACAATCTCGGCAAAGGATAATAGAACAAAAGCATGGCGGGTCTTATGGGTGACATAAGGCAGGCAATCAAGGGGCCAGGACACCCTTTATTCTGTAATGATGGGAACCTTCTGTGATTTCTGAGTATCACTGATTTAGAAAGGGAACGCTTGTTGGGATGAGAGCTGAATTAAAATGGGCAAGAGAGTGGTTACTAGGCCAGTAGGAGTTGCTACCAGGGAAATGGTGAGGGACTGAGAACAATAGAAGTGAAGCTGCTAAGCTGAGAAATTTGAAATGCAAGACACAGAGACAAATGATTGATGGAGTAAATCTCAGGGGAGGAGGAAAGATGAGGAGTGGTAAAACATTCCATCTGTGTAGATTGTCAAGGCCTTATGTTTCAGGGCTGAATTGGAGATCTTTTCTGTGTTTGTAACTAGTTTTCTCCTATTTTCCACTTGCTTCTTCAAATGTTTACCACTGCTGTGAAACCTGTTCAGCCCTGTTCTGCCTCAGTCTCAGGGCATGACCTTTTCTCTGACTTTGCAGAAGAAATAGAGACAATCAGGCAAGAACACTCCAAACTTCCAAATGCCAAGCAGGCATCGGAAACCATTGTCTGTCACAATTGTCTGTCACAAAGCCAAGAGAGGCAAGACTGACTCCTGATTTAGGCCATTCCTTTATCTGGGTCCCTTTATCCAGGGACTTTGCTCACTCTTGCCCTTTGAATTATGCCTCCCTCTTAGCTGCTTTGGGGGGCCGGCTAGGATAACAACAGGGAAGAAAGAGGGGACTATATCCTTTCAGTGGATAGGCTAGTTCCCAAAGAGAAAAAAAAGGTGAATCCAGGCCTTGCATTCCCGATTTAATCTTTGCAAATTTAGCAATCAGATAAACCATTTGGTTTCCCAGACGGAGAAAAATCGCAAGGGAAACTAAATATTTAGAATACCTTAGGTTCAGAGATGCCTGGGTGGCTCAGGGGTTGGGCAGCTGCCTTAGGCTCAGGTCATGATCCCAGGATCTGGGATCAAGTCCCACATGGGGCTCCCCATGGGGAACCTGCTTCTCCCTCTGCCTATGTCTCTGCCTCTCTCTGTGTGTGTCTCTCATGAATAAATAAATAACATTTTTTTTTTTAAAGAATAACTTAGGTTCCTTTAACAGGAAGGACATGTCAGGTGTGAAGCAGAGCATTCTTCCATTACACTGCTGTTACTCCACTACTGACCAGCAGTTTACACTGTTGACCACTTCCACCCCCAACCCCTCTTCAAACTCTCTCTGGACTTCCACATACCATACTTCCCTGGGGTTCTTCTCGCCTCTCTGACTTCCTTCAGAGCACATATATTTTACAAAATTTAAGCACATTCTCAAAATTTTAAAGATTTTTCTGATCAATTCTGATGTAATATTTTTATATTCTTCTAATACCGGGGGCCAGATTTCAGATAATGCAACATAATGGAAAGAGCAGTGGATGAAGTATTATAGAACATGGGTGGAAATTCTATTTTGTGTTTTATTTTTAAATACTTTTTTTTAAAATTATTTATTTATTTATGATAGTCACACAGAGAGGGAGAGAGAGGCAGAGACACAGGCAGAGGGAGAAGCAGGCTCCATGCACCGGGAGCCCAATGTGGGACTCGATCCCGGGTCTTCAGGATCGCGCCCTGGGTCAAAGGCAGGCACCAAACCGCTGCGCCACCCAGGGATCCCCTATTTTGTGTTTTAATCTTACCATTTTGCCATAGGCTTTTATTGTTAACTCTTAGATCTGCAAACATCTGTTATTTAACAAAATGTGCATGGTAGGAGAATAATAGGATACTAACATTTCAAAGACTTTTGTGAGGACTCCTGGAATAAATACTTGGAAATTATTACTATTACTACTATCATCATTTCATTATTATTGCTATCATAACTGCTGTTATTATTGGTTTAACACTCATATTTTTCATAATATACTCCAAAAAGTAATGAGGAGTTACTGTATAAAATATTGCTATTTCTTTAAAAGGAAAAAAATGAATAGAGTCATAGTGCTTATATGATGACTGGGTATGAAATCTGTGGATTAAAAATAATGCATCCATTTCAGTAACTGTTACTATAGAAAGACATGATTTTTAAATATTCTAAAATATCTTTAAAAATATGTACAGTAATAATTTATAATATATATTTAATGCTTCCCAGGCATATGGTGCTCTGTTGAGTGGCTTATATTTGTTATTTCATTTAATCCTTCCAACAACTGAGTTCGATACTCTTACTAATTTCACTTTACAGATTAAGAAACTGAGTCATATAGAGTTTGAGCAGTTTGCCCCAGGGAATTCTAACCAAAGAACAGCCTCGGAACCTACACATTTAGCTACCGTGCTCTAGATTATGATATGTTCAGTAAAGGTGAAATCTTAAAACACATTAAATATATCAAAAAGTAAAGCAGTATGATTTACTTATTACAACTAATATGCTGAATAAAAACTATTATATGAATAATTAACTTTTGAAGAGTACAGATGTGGGTTTGTCTCCCACTAGGAACTTTTTATCATTTGGTGGTAAGTTGAAAAGATAATGCCTAATACATCCATGATGAATTATTCTATCATTGAATTTCCCAAGGCTCATTTTTATGAAGTCTGTAGTGGCATAGCATTGCAGAGATATGCAGACCTGTTTGGTACAGATTCCCTGGAAAATTCTGATTGTTTTTGTATTGAAAAAAAATGAAAGGAACTTAGTATAAGCCAGCTTGCCTCTCTGTGTTATTGCCTGTAAAGTAACCCTCACAACAAATTTATGAGCTCAGAAGCTTTGGTTTCTATTTTATGGATAAAAACATGTTTCAGAGAACTTGTATAACATACCCATGGTTTAATAGCTCAGGAGTTGTAGTGCCAAGATTTAAAATCAGAAATTTATAAATGCAAAGGCCATGCTTTTCTGACAGAATTACATTATGCATATATATGTATAAACTTACATATACATATGTGAATACATAGAATGATAGATAGATAGATAGATAGATAGATAGATAGATAGATAGATAGATGATAGATAATCTGGCCTTACTTCACATATAATGCCTTTTCTTAACATTGCCTTTGGTTGAGTTCAGATTACCATGGTGGCAAATTCTAGTGTATATACAGCAACTCTAATTGGAATAAATATTGAAAGCTATGCAAAATGGTGGCAACTGATAATCATAAACAGTGATTTCATTTCAGAAAATTAACCAGGAAGAAACTACTTTCATTAGTGATGCTCTTCTTGTATTTAATTTTGAGCACCATATATAATAATTCCAAAAATTTTTGTGTAAAAACATTTAATGGTTTCCATATATTTATTTATCTTAAATGTGAGCATTGTTCATTTTCTGAAAACTTTGATATACCACAATAATTGCCTTGTTAAATAAAATTAATTCAATTCAGAAAACCATATCAGCTTTTATGGTCTTTTCCTTGACATCTTATTTGAAGTATAATGGACATTTAGACTTTAAAAAAAATTTTACTCTATGTATGTATGTGTGTGTGTGTGTATACATATTTATTATATATAATATGCATATTATATATAAACTTATGAAATTCAGGTTCAATAATTTGAGAGTGAATTCACAATGCTTGTTGACTTACTATGTTCTAACATATCATTTTGTAGATAAGGATGACAGTTCTGTGAAGAGTAGAGACAGTGTTTTGCTTCCCTACCAAGAAGTTGGTTTATCCTCTCCTGCTCCTACTAAATTTAATGATGCTGAGCCTGCAGAGAGAAGATTATCTGTTGGTATGTGGCAAATATATAATGTACTGAGCAAACCCAGTTCATAACATGATCTGTTTAATATTACTGAACTGAAAACTTAGGCTTTTTCAGGTAAGAAGAAATCCATGAAAAAAGTGGGTCATCTGCTTTGGGAGCTCTCTCCAATGATGTGGAGCAGCGATTCTCAAATGTGTTTTGTCCACAGTATACTGTTCTCAGTACCTTTCCCTGAGGTCAAAAGATGTGCCAAGCAATTCCCTTTATTAAATGGTTTGGTTGAAAAACCTAAGAGTAGTAATTCATGTGATATCCAATATATGCAGTAGTGATATTTAACTATAATGTTAAATAATACCCTGTAGAGCCCCTCTAAATTTGCTGACATCCCAGCTCCCTCTGTACAGTTTGGGAACTGCCAGACTATGGGTTTGTCTGCCAATTATTTAGCTAGAGACAGTATTACCTAACTTAGAAAGAGATTGAGCACAGATAAATAGATAAAGATACAAATTTGATATTATCAATTGAAATTAACTCTTCAAATATTCCTTTCTCTGGATATGGGTAATATTGAAAATTTTCCTGTTTATTGAATGAACCAAACCAAATTAAATATTATGAGGTTTTTAAATGACTGTGTGCTTGTGCCATCACATAGATATTTGTGAAAAGAATATAAAATCATTTTGGATTCTTGAAAAATCTCTCTACCTTGCAACGTTTTGTTTTATTAAAGTGCTTCACTTGGATAAAGAGTCATTTTGAATATGAAACCAATATTTTGTTTCTATAAGTTTTCCATCTAAGGTTTAATTCTGTCTATTGGGTAGAATTGAAGAATGGTGAAAATATTTTACATGTGAAATTGAAAATGAAACATTCCATTTTGGGGAATGTTTTCACATACCATTATGGCGAAAGAAAATTTAATGGTTTTCTTTATTGAAATGCATCTATTTTTAAAGTATTTCTGTTAGGTATTGAAAATAAATCTATTTTCTTGTTTTCAAGATACAGTAAATTGACTCAGAATTTCTTTGAGAGCATAGCATAATTTGTAAAATGAGCTTTATTTGTCTGCATATAAATAGCAATAGCTGACAGGATATTTTACTCTATGGTGATGTAACCCTTTTTTACAAACAAATGTGAATTTTAGGAATTGAAATAATACATGAAAGGTTGAACTCAGGCAAAAGTAAAACGTCAAAGAAAGACAATGATAGATCTATGGAAAAGGAGGAGAAAAATGAGCAATGCTTTTCTCCTGAAGAAGGAACAAAGGCATATGACTTCTTTGAGAAGGTTGTAAATGCTGCTCAGACCTGGTTCAGTCTCTTCGGCTGGCCTGAAGGACCCCATTGTCTTTCTATTCCAGAAACAATAAGAAGGTAACAGCTATGTGTTTCTCTAAAACTTGCTTTGTATCATATAACAAAATATAATCTACTCACTGGGGTTGTTTTACATGAAACACAACGTTAAATGATTTATTATACACTGGTAAATTAGGAGGAGGCTACTAAGAAAAGCAATAGGACACAAATATAAATTCTTTGGTGTAGGTATACTTAAAAAAAAAGATTTATTTATTTGAGAGAGATTGTGGGTGCGGGCATGTGCACATGACAGGAGGAACAGAGGGAGAGGATCTCAAGCAGACTGCCTGCTGAGATGGGAGCCCCATGCAGGGCTCCACACAAAGCTCAACATGAGACTCTACACGGGGATTGACCTGAGGACTCTGAGATCATGACCTGCGCCAACACCAGGAGTTTACCTGACTGAGCCACCCAGGCTCCCCTGGTATAGGTATACTCTTTTAATTTCTTCTAAACCTCTTAAAATTTGAGGTAAGTACTGAAAGTCACTAAACCTCACTTTCCTCATCTGTCAAATGACAAGGGGGTAAACTATGGGTAAGTTTTAAATTTGAAACTTTTGGAAACCCCACATGTATATATAAAGGAAATATCAGCCCTGGATCTAGAGTATAGTCAAGTAGACAGTACATTTACTTCCCTCTTTCATAGGCTTTTATTACTCAGCATATCTAAAGTAGATAAACTGCTTTGTTTAGATCAAGTCACTTAATTCTGTTGTTAATTTAAATTGATATTTAGGCACTTCCCTTGTATAGTGGTTCTCACAGTTTTTCTACCTCCTTTCTCAGAGCTTGGAGTGACTTGCAGGCACCATAGGGGCAAGTACTTCATCTCTGTAGCTAGAAGAGCTATAGTAGCATTTTTGCATCTATGTTCAGGAGCAATTAAGTTACGCTAAATCTATACTTTTCCTATAAAAGCTATCTTTTTCAGTTTTTTAAATTAATGGGACTGTATCAGTTTCATCGAACGAATTAGCTAATATTTCATCTTTACTTATGCTGAGGGAAAATTAATACAACAGATACACTGAAAATTTACGGGCTTGATCATAAAATCATCTGACTTCAGGGAATTTTTTAGAGAAGTTATTTGGTTAATAACTTTTCAGTTTTCTGCTTTGCTGTTTGTTCTACTGAAAATTATATATATTTTGAGTAAATTTTAATGATTTTTTATTTTGGGGAAATCATTGATCAGACGTTTAAAATTCATAATCTAACAGTAATGACTATGAGTATTGTTTATATGCTCATAGACTCTTATTTATAATTTTTATTATACATATTACACTTTAAAAAATATTTTATTTATTTATTTGAGAGAGAGAGAGAGCACAAGCAGGGTAAGGAGCAGAAGGAGAAGCAGACTCCCTGCTGAGCAAGGAACCCAATGCAGGGCTTGATCCTGGGACCTCAGGATCGTGACATGACCTGAGCCAAAGGCAGGTGCTTAACCAACTGAGCCATGCAGGTGCTCCTATTATGCATATTATACTTTTAGGTCTCATGAGATGAATAAATTTTTTAATTAATTTATCCATTTCCATGTTTTCTAAATCATTTAATGCTGATTTTTTTATTATTCACTTCTTTAAATTTGACTTGTATGCTTAATTATTTTCAGGTCTATACATTTATGTCTTTATTCCATGTTAGATGCATCCTACACTTTTTGCTATTAAGCATTCTAATTTTGGTTGTTTTTTTAATAGAGCTTGCGATCTTAATTTTTATTTTCTACATATTTTTACTGTAACTATAGCTTATGTTAAATCCAATATGTTATTGGATTTATGCATCTTTATATACTTGCCCATTCACATTAATATGGGGGTATTTACTTATGTTATTATGTTATGTTATTTTGTTCTATATTTTCCTAATGTAAACAATGCCAAGATTCATTGTATCTGTTTGTAAGTAGTAGCAAATATTCCTGGATGTTACATAGGAAGGATTTCAGAGTGGGATCACTGAATCAACTAATATAAGCTTTTAAAAATCTATTTTATTTTTGAATGACTTTCTAGTAAGTTTTCGATTTTATATCCCTATTAATGAGTTTCAATACCGGTCTGGTTGTTAACTGACAGAGTTGAGTACCTTGCTATTTTGATAAGTGGGTAACAGCTCATGTCATTGGGTACGTCTTGGGGAAAGACAGTTTAAAAGGAATATGGGGACCTTTCTAGCCCAGAAATCTTTGAATATTAAAAACTTTCTCCAAGTAACAATGTTGTTCACTGCTAATACTTTATTTGGAATCTTTGGATCATGGACTCTCAGGCTAAGAGAATACTTTCAAGGTAATATAATGTTGCTAATCTTTGAACCCCTTACCTCAATGTTTCCTACATTACCCCATCATCTGGACTCTCAGTTTTTCTCATGAGAAGTCTAATGTCAAAAAAAAAAAAAGAAGAAGAAGAAGAAGAAGTCTAATGTCATATTTTGTGACTACCATGTTCATTCTCTCAGAATTATTTTATGGTTCCCATTTCTTTGCTAATTTGAAATTTATGAAATAAAATCTGACTGTGAGAATATTTTATATCACTCAATCTACTTGGTATTCATTAGACCCTTTTACTAGGAAGACTCATCATTCAACTAGTCTTCCCTCTCTCCTCTTTCCTGCCTTTGCTTTTCTCAATTTTTCTTTATTCTCTCACTGTCTTTTTATCTCCTTTAAGAATGATAGTGGACCTGCATGACTGATCCTTTATACCACTTTCAGTTATGTCCTATGATTTTTTTCTGTCTTTGCTTTCTTATATTTGTAGATCTTCATTTGCTCTCCCAGTCTTCTATAAAATTTTTAATTGGTGTTTATAGTTTTGTTTTACAAGAACTCTGTTATTCTTTATGCCTTCCTTCCTTCCATCCTTCTTCCTTCCTTCTTCCATCTATTTCTTTCATAATAGCATCCTATTTTTGTGTTACAGATGCATCTTCTCAAATATCTCTTCCAAATATAGTACTTGAATTAATCATCATTATTACTGTACTGAAGGTCACTTCCTTCCTCTGTATCTGCCAGCCATAATCTTGGTGATTTATGTTCCTTTAGGAAAAATGGTGTCCTTTTTTTCTGCAGCCTACTGCTATGTAGTCCATCGTTTTAATTTATTCCTTAATACAATTCCATTCATTCTGTTTTACAGATATTCTTCAGAGTCGTTGCTATACTAATGATTCTTTCCCCAATTTTAGTGTTGTTATAGTTCTCCAGTCTTTCTGACATTTCAGGAATATTTTGAGAAGGAGAGAAGATAAGCACATATATTAATTTTATCATCTTGAACAGAAAATTGATATTCCTTCTCATAGTTTTCTACAGTTTTACTCTTTCATTTTATCCCAGCTTAATGATCTGTAATTTCTGTTATTGCTTTCATTATTGTGGTCTAGTAATCCATGCCCTATTGAATTTGCTTGGCAATATGTCTGTTACCTTGTTCCTTTAAAAAAATTGTGTGTTGGTATTTTATTAATGATAATAGTTCATATGTATATTGGGCTCCTACTATGAACAAAACATATGTGTTTTGTGCGTATTAATTCATGTATTCTTTATAATAATCCTATGAGGTAAATACTATTATTATCCCCATTTTACTGTGGGAAACTGAGGCAAAGAGAGAATTAGTAAGTTTCTCAAAGTTACTCAGCTGATAAATAGCAGAGCCAGGATTTGAAGCCAAGCATTCTACCCTAGAGCTAGTGCTTTTAAGCTTCATTCCACTTGCTAATTATTGTAGGATCAGATTAAGACTTAGGGAGCTTTGACACTTGAAAGACATGAGCTCCACTATTTGGCATTTTGTCTTTGGCTTTAGACTGAGCACTATAAGTACTATGGTTAGGAATATCAGTTCAAGAAGATTAAGAATATGGTAGTCTAGAACTGAGGAGAGTTATATAATCCTAATGTTTATAGGCTAAGTCTAGGATTTCAGATCCAGTGAAGCTCAAAGTCCTGGGCAAGCCTTCAATTCTAGCAAAGTCAGCTGTATTAACAGGGAAAGTGGAATTGCTTGGCCTTATATGCAATAACCCCCCACTGAAGAGTCATCCACTACAGGATGTATAACCTGGAAGACTAGAATTCATTGTGAATTACGGTGTGGACATCAAAAACTTTGTTTTCCTTTTAACACTATTGAACATTTTTTGACATATTTATGCATCTGCTTTCTTTTTTTTTTAATTTAATTTATTTATGATAGTCACAGAGAGAGAGAGAGAGGCGCAGAGACACAGGCAGAGGGAGAAGCAGGCTCCATGCACCGGGAGCCCGATGTGGGACTCGATCCCGGGTCTCCAGGATCGCGCCCTGGCCCAAAGGCAGGCGCCAAACCGCTGCGCCACCCAGGGATCCCTGCATCTGCTTTCTTGAACCTGAAGATACAGATTGTCAGAAATGCTGCTTTATTGGTATATTAGCTCAGATAATTTCACTCTTTACAAACACCAATTTGTGGCAGACAGGCCATATGGTCCATTTCATTTGTTAATTTGAGAGATATTCAGGTGGAATAGCAGAAACCAATTATTTGAGGAGATTACCTTTATTGATTAGTAGTCTGTTTACAATTCTTAGAGGCCCCTAGATATTATTTATTTTCAGCCCTTCCTGAAATCACCAAAAGATGGAAATAGCTATTGAAAAAATATAAGAGAACACAATTTATATTTCCAAAATCATCAGAGGAAATGTACTAAATATAATAGCCCAGTCACTTCAGGTTGGATGAATTGTGGGAATTAACATTTTTTCTAAACACTACTGGGAAGATCTGTAAGCAACTGATCACAGAAACATTTACATCATAATGAAAATTCCACTGCATCTGGCAGAAGTGATTGCAGTACATGTCATTGCTAGTCCAAACTTCTATTCCAATATGTACCTCCTTCCAGCTGCCACACACCAAGAGCGCATCTGGAAATGCCAGTCAGGAAGCTTAGGGGAAAGGGTTCAAATTGTTTTAGAGCTACATTCTATACCAGAAATGTGCATTTAGTGTAAATATATAGAATCTCACATGAAATCAAATTAATCAGTAGAATAGTCTACCATTCATAATGACAGCATGCAAAATGAAATATTTTCTCACTGCCTCTGCTTCCTCATTTATAAAAAGAGGTAATAATAATACCTACCTTATATGATTGTTGTGATACTTAAAAAAGGTAATACCTTTATGAGAACAGAGTATGAGACCTAATAAGCATTCAATAAATGTTAGCTGTTATTAAATTTAGTTAGTATTATGTTAGCAGCATTATATATTTCTGATCTCATTCACTGTATTCACCAACTCTTCTATTTGACAGTGGAAGGTAAATTTAAAACCGATTTTTTCCAAGCAGTTACCAAATGATATTTCATTAATATTTTTCCTTACCTTGCACAAGATTTTTTCCCAGTTTGATAAGAAACTTCTGACATTTTCTAAAGTGTGTGTGTGTGTGTGTGTGTGTGTGTGTGTGTGGTATGCTTTTCTCTTTGCCACTTTGAGCTGCTGGCAAGATCACTGATAAATTTAGCAATATAAACATAAAGTTTCCCCTCCATTTCTGGGCAGGCTGCCTATTCTTTTTGCCAGCCATGTCCAACAAAATCACAAAAATGTGTCTTTAGAGTGAAAGTGTTAAAATAAAAGTGTTAAATAACTGATTAGAGTTGGCTTCCTTGAATTTTTTTCATTTTTCCACATTACAGTAAGAATAGTGAATCATTTTATAATTCTTCTCAAGGCAGTTTCCATATTTAACCATTTTACTACTTGTTTGCTGGGAATAGTGGTAAGTGGTAGGTGGTTTCTTTACCTGGAAAGATGGATCATGATGTAAGTACATGAGCCTTTTGCTCGTGTATATTTTCAATCTCCAAAGTAGAAGGACTCTCATAATTGAAAAGAGACTTTAAATAATCTAATATCTTAATATATAAACAAGAAGAGAAGGAATATTGTTAACAGTTATCAAAATTTTAATTAAAGTCCACACTTGTGAGATATGCATACATATAGATATTAAAGAAAAGACTGTAGTTTATACATCAGAATTTGTACTCCCAGTGGGAAATCCAGTTATAATCCAGTTGATCCACTAACAATGTCACCTTTTCCTTTAACAGTCCTCTAGATAGTAATTTTAACTACCTAATTTTAGTCAGCCTTTAAGGGGTTGGGGAACTTTGCAGACCCAAGCTGTTCCCTCTTGACTTTTCAAATCATGAAATAAAATACACATAGAGAAAGATTCACAAACCAAGTACAACCCATCATTTTACTCCTAGAGCAAATCCCTGTGCAGGCTTCCCTTTAACAGCACCCCAGAAGCCTCTTTGACACTCACAATCTACAAGATCTCTATAACTGAAAGGAAATCACCAGCTTGCCTTTTATGGTAATCATTTCCTTACTTTTTTTTTTTTTATTTTATCATGCAAGCATAGATCTGTGAACTCCAGAGTTTAAGGTTTCTGTTTTTAAATTTTAATCATGCTTGTCACCACATAACATATAGACAGAATTATACTATGTGAACATGTGTGTAGCTATCACTTAGACCAAGATATAGAGCATAGTGGAAGGTCTGTGTGGCTCAGAGGTTGAACATCTGCCTTTGGCTCACGGTGTGATACAGAGGTCCAGGGATTGAGTTCCCTGTGGGGAGCCTGCTTCTCCTTCTACCTATGTCTCTGACTTCTCTCTGTGTCTCTCATGAGTAAATAAATAAAATCATTAAAAAAAAAAAAGTAATAGAGCATAGCTAACATCTCCAAATCCCTGCCACTTCTATTTCCCTTCCCATCCCCTGGAGAGGTCACCATTATCCTGAATTCTAACACCAAAGATTAGTTTTTTTCTAGTTTTGAACATGATGTAGGAAAAATCATACAATTTGCGTTTTTTTGTAGCATCTGGATTTTTTTTATCAATATTATGTTCATGTGATTCATTATTGCATTTCAAAGTGGATTACTAGTAATGCTGTACACTAGGCCATTATATGAATATTCTATTGAATCATTCTGTCCATAGATGTTTCACTGGCTTCTAGATTTTTCTATTATGAAAAATGTTAACTATGGAAATTTTAACATATGTCTTTTGATACATATTTCTGAAAGGCTTATATGTTGAGTAAAATTGCTAGATCATAAGATGGAAATATGATCACCTTTAGAAGTTACTTCCAAGTAGCTTTCCAAAGTGGTTGTACCTATTTCCACTCCCACAGGTCATATATGAAAGTTCTATTTGCTCTATATTCCAAGAAACAGTTAATATTTTCAGTCTTTTCAATATTAGCTCTGAGTGAGGTTTGAACTGACATTTTACTACTCTTGATATTAAGAAAAAATTTATATTTTCTTGGTCATTTGGAAATGTTGTACCATGAAGAGCCTGTTCTTTGTAGTTATTCTTATTGTGGTTCATAGTGATTCTCTCATCTGTGGTCTGATTTTTTATTGTCAGTTTTGGAACTCTCTCAGTCAATATGCTTTCCATTATGTGACTACCTCATTCTTTTGGGCTCCTCTCCTTTGCTCACTCTTCTGTGTTTTCCATCCTTTTATCCCTCTCTGTTGTAGTACAGATACTTTCCTATGACCTATATTCCATTGCATTACTTTTTTCTTCACTTGATTTAGTTTGCTGTTAACTTCATCCATTGCTCTCATTTTACTTACTAGATTTGTTTGTTTCTAAATTTTCCATTTAGTTATATACATATATTTTAAAGATTTTATTTATTTATTTGAGAGAGAGAGAGAAGAGAGCACAAGCAAGGGAAGTGTCAGAGGGAGAAGAAGAAGCAGGCTTCCTGCTGAGCAGGGAGCCCAATGTGGAGCTCCATTCCAGGCCCCTGAGATCATGACCTGAACTGAAGGCAGGTGCTTAAATGACTGAGCCACCAAGGTACCCCTAAAGATTTGATTTATTGAGAGAGAGGAAAAGAGAGAGCAAGTGGGGGGAGGGACTGAAGCAGAATGAGAGAGAATCTCAAGCAGACTCCACTCTGAGCACAAAGCCAGACACAGGGCTTGAGATAATGATCTGAGGTGAAATCAAGAATCAAATGCTTAACAGACTGAGCCACCCAGAAGCCTCTCCATTTAGTTATATTTTTATATAACTTATACTTCAATGACAAAATTCTCAATCTTAATCATAGTACATACAATTACTTTAAAATCTGTGTCTTAAAACTATAATATGTGGGCCCTGTGTGTCCATTCATATTATTTATTGTTTCTTACTATTTATATTCAACTTGTTTTTTCTCCTTCTTTTTTTAGTTATTGTCTGGTTGTGTGTCTTAATTCTGTTTAGATCATTGATCTTCTTCATAATTTTGTATGGAAATTTGTATTTTCAGGTATTAATTATTTTCCATGAAATATTTGCTTTGTTGGTACCTTCAGGATATACTAGCTCTATCATATATATTACTAATGAGGAACTTGAGAAACAGACAAGTCAAGTAGCTTCCATAAAGTCACACAGTAAGAGGCAGAGCCAGAGTTTGAGCAATGGTACTCAAACCCTTATCTAAGTCAATGTACTTTGTCCTATAATATGCAATATAGACCTACTAGCTACCAAACTGGAGAATGGCCACTCAAAATGACTCCTTGGGCACGTTTTATTTGTCAGTCTAAATTAGTGATACATTTTGACTTTGATTGCTAGCAAACAAGTAGACAGTATACTGTAGTATTAGATAATTGATAAGCTATAGAGAGCAAGAATTGTTTGAATTTTTTCAATCCATTTAATAATTAGCATCCATTATAACTCAGTGTGAGAAGTATCAGAAATAGAGATTGTACTGTCTTATTTAAAGGACAGAAAAATATATAAGAGCATTAGCTCTCTGGGTTTATCTTTAAAATGTGAATCTCTGCTTATGAGGCCAATGTGCAGGATGAGCCATTCTAATTATTAGAATACAATATTGAGAAAATATGTATAAATTTTTGTCTATACATGTGTGATGAATATTTGACATCTATCTTGAAAACTATCATAGGCATTATTACCTCCAGTTTAAATGCTATAAAATTTGAGTTCAATGAGTTTGGATAACTTCTCAACCAGCTAGCAGTTAATGGGTCCAGGAGTTAACTCCTGTACTGTTTATCCAAAGCAATTACATTTTCTATTCACAATCCAATCTTCCAGACCTGACAATTGCAACATCAGATTATGATGCGTGTTTAAAATGAGATAATAGAAAGTTACAGGGTTATCAAAACATCTAATTTGTACTAACAAATGATAGCTGAGTAAGGTGAATTTTATAATTTCTTATTTGATTTTAAATAGAACTTTATTTAGTCATTGAAAATTTTTTTCATAATATAACATACTGATATATATATTTTTTAATTTTAAAATTGTTTTCTCATAGGGAAGTGTATAAAATACAATTATCTTCATCAACCTCATCATCCAAAAAAATTTCCAGACAGAATGACTTTTCGAAATATAATAAGACCATTTATGATGTGATGCTCCACTTGAGTGGAAAAATGCCACCTGGAATTAATTCAAGTCAGTCCTTACCTGAGGATTACACTGAAAGGGTGATTCAACTTCATTCTCAACATTCTTCACTTCTTGACTTTCTCATGTAAGAGCATGAATGTGCTAATTTAAGCATGTAATTTTGGCTTGGATAGATACATAAGTAAATGGGTAAATAGGTAGATTTTGATATTATTTGTCTTTTTATAATATATTTACCATGTTTCCAGTATATGCATAATCCTGTAATATATACCTTGGAAAGATAATGGAAAGTAAACATTTCATAGACTATTGAATTGGCAACTTAAGGCATTCATTCCCAAGCTTTATCACCAATCCATATCATTGTGAGAGCATGTTAAACAGGTTTCTGGCCCTTACCCACAGAGTTTATGATGTTAATTTGCATTTATAAGGAGTTTTAGGTGATATTGATTTCTTCTGGTCCATGACCTCATTTTTAGTTTTCTTACCTAGACAAATATATAAGTTCATAGAACTAAAAAGGGATGATACCAATAAGTTTATTTCTCAGAATACAGTTAGTATAATCTCAAGTTATACTATGAATTTTTAGTCCACATAGTTGTCTTTTAATATTAAAATAATCAGCAGGTGAAAATTTCCATAACTGGTTGACAGAAAATATAGGAAAAATATTTGTCATTATAATGTCTGTGTTCCTCTGCAGAGATTATAAATGGTGAGTGGCCAAGAAATAGAAAAGCAGTGTTCATTAAAAGTCTGAGGAGAGTACTGGTGAATTTATATTACTTCTTTTGCTTATATTTGCAGTATCCTTATCCACTGGAACATCCATAACCATGCTTCTATATCACTACAATAACATTTGTTACTTGTAATTATTATGCAGTAGGGTTCATATTTTTGAAATATATTGCTGTGTCTTTATATAATTGCTTCTTTGTGTATGGAATCTATTCCATAGTTGGCCAGAAATGTTCACCTACCTTAGCAGGGGTGGGGATGGAGGGTAACAAAAGGAATCTCAAAGCAGGAATGCAAATGAAAAATTTGGTGTTCAAAACTTTTTTTAATTTCCAAATCAGAATTTTTGAGTCTCTAGCAATATTATGGTCTTAAAAATTAGACATGGTATAGAGAGAAACAGGAATATGACAGCAGAGTAGGAGTACTCTAGACTTGCCTCCTTCCATGAACATAACCAGATAACTATCAAATCATCCTAAATACCCCAGAAATTGACCTGAAGACTGATAGAACAAGGAAAGGGAGGAAGAGGCCACATTGAAGAAGGTAGGAAGTATGGAGATATGGTTTAGGAGAGAAATCAATCTTGGGTGCTACAGAGGGGAGGGAGCCAGGGTCACTGAGAATGGTGAGAGAGGAAGACACAGGGGAACACAAAAGGAGAATGTTTCCCCATAGCCATTGGCTTGGAAAATGAAAGGTACAGATTTTCATGAGTTTTTGCAACCAGGGGGCCTTAAACACTGGAGTTTTAAATATCAGTGGGCTTGGCTGTGATACAGCCTGGAAAGCACTGTGCTACTTTGGAGAGAAGGCAGGCAAACAACCCAAGGGCATACAGTGTGGAAATAGCAAGGTAAAGAACGACTGGGGCACACATTGGGGAGATCATTTGCCCCTCTCTGTGTGTTCCTGAGAAAGCAGCATTCACAGAGACACCTGTCCAGGAACAAAGGAGCTTGCTGGTGCCATTTCCCTCCCCTGCCCCTCACCATAAACACAGAACCATCAGTGGGATGACAGAATGACAGAATGACACTGGCTGCCTAACTTGCTTATACTAAGCCTCCTCCCCTTCACTCCAGTGAGTTTGCTCTTCTCAGTCATGTTTGCGTCAGTTCCAAGCCAGCAGATTCCTCCTCCAGAAGACTGGTACAAATCCCAGTCTACACCACATCTCCCAAACAGAGAGTTTTGCAGTACCTTAGTTCCAGTGGAGGTGGTGACAGGTCTCATTTCACAAGCAAACCAAAGCATACCTAGTTAAAACTCACCATGTTCAGGCCAGGGACCAAACACTGCCCACATCAGGCAAGGAAAGCTTTTGCAGATGACTGACCTAAAGATAAAGTGACCAGGACACAGCAGCAGCACACATGCAGCACACATCAGAGACATTCCCTAAAGAGCCAGGGCCTGAGCACTACATGATTTTTCTTCATAAGGCTAGGAGTAGGAGAAATAATTGCCTTTTCTAATAAAAAAAAAAAGCAGGCAGAGACTTAGACAGAATGAGAAGACAGAGGAATTTATCCCAAATGAAAGAAAAAGATAAGATCACAGACAGAGATCTAAGTGAAACAGAGATGACTATCATGCTGATGGAGAATTTAAAGTAATGATCATAAGGGTACTCACTGGACTTGAGGAAAGAATAGAAAACATTGGTAAGACCCTTACCAGAGAGATAGAAGAATTAAAAAAGAGTCAATCAGAGATGAAGAGATGAAGAGTGCAATAAATGAGATTAGAAACACATTTGACTCAATGAACAGCAGGCTGGAAGAAGCAGAGGAATTAAATAATGACCTAGAATACAAAGAAATGGAAAACAATAAAGCTGAACAAAAGAGAGAAAGAATTATGCAAACATAGGGAATGCAGTGCCTCCATCCAACATAATAACATTCGTATAGGATTCCCAGAAGAAGAAGAGAGAAAAAGGAGAAGAAAATTTGTTTGAGGAAATAATAGCTAAAACCTTCCGTGATCTGGAAAAGGAAACAGACATCCCAATCCAGGAGGCACAGAGAACCCCCAACAAAATCAACAAAAGCAGGCCAACACCAAGACATATTATACTTAAATTTGCTGAATATAATGATAAAGAAAATTATTAAAAGCATTAAGACAAAAGAAGTCATTAACTTACAAAAGGAAGCCCATAAGGCTAGCTGGGGATTCTTCAACAAAAACTTGGCAAGCCAGAAGAGAGTGGCATGATATATTCAAAGTGCTGAAAGGGAAAATCTGAAGCCAAGAACACTCTATCCAGCAAGGCTGTCATTCAGAATAGGAGAGATAAGCATTTCCCCAGACAAAAACTAACGGAGTTTGTGACCACTAAGCTAGCCTTGCAAGAAATATTAAAGTATACTTTTTGAGTGGAAAGGAGAGGCCAAAAGTGACAGTACAGGGCAGCCCGGGTGGCTCAGTGGTTTAGTGCCACTTTCAGCCCAGGGCATGATCCTTGAGACCCGGGATCAAGTCCCATGTCAGGCTCCCTACCGGGAGCCTGCTTCTCCTTTGGCCTGTGTCTCTGCCTCTCTCTCTCTCTGTTGCTCATGAATAAATAAATAAAATATTTTTTAAAGTATTCAAAAGTGACAGTACAAATGCAGGAAACATGAAAGCAGTAAAAATGAATACTTCTGCAAAAAAAAATCAAAGAACTCACCAAAAAAAGGGTATAAAATATACTAACATATGCCTAAGACATGGAGAGGAGAGAATAATAGGTTCAAACTTAAATGACCATCAACTTAATGTAGACTGCTATATGCAGGAAAGGTTAGATACAAACCAAATGGTAACTATATATAACTATATAACTATATAACTATATAACTATATAACTATATGTATATATAAACATGTAAAGAATAAAGAGAAAGAAATACAAATATATCACTGAAGAAAATAAGCAAAAAAAAAATAAAGACAAAAGGTCAGAGAAAATTTTCAGAAACAACCACAAAACAAGTACTAAAATGGTAATACATACTTATCAGTAATTACTTTGAATGTAAATGGACTAAAAGCTCTAATCAGAAGGCATAGGGTGTCAGAATGGATAAAAAAAAATATAAGACTAATCTATAAGCTGCCTATAAGAGACTCATTTTAGACCTAAGGACATTTGCAGATTGAAGGTCAAGGGATGGAGAAATATTTATCATGCAAATAGATGTCAAAAGAAAGGCAGAGTAGCAATATCTACATTGGAAAAACTGGACTTTAAAACAAAGACTGTAACAAAAGACAAAGAAGATCACTACATCATAAGAAAGGGTACAATCCAACAAGAAGATATAACAATTGAAAATATTTATGCACCCAAGATGGGAGCACAGAAATACAGAAAGTAGTTAATAACAAACATAAAGGAACTAACCAATAATAATACAATAATAGTCGAAGACTTTTAACACCCCACTTACATCAATGGATGGATAAGCTAAATAGAAAGTCAACAAGAAAACAATGACTTTGAATGACACACTGGACCAGATGGACTTAGCAGATGTATTCAGAACATTTCAACCTAAAACAGCACAATATACATTTTTTCAAGTTCACATGGAAAATTCTCGAGAATACATCACATAGTAGGCCACAAAACAAACCTCAACAAATACAAGAAGAAAGAAGTCATACCATGCACCTTTTCTGACCACCACACTGTGAAACTAGAAGGCAACCACAAGAAAAAATCTGGAAAGATAACAAATACGTGGTGGTTAAATAACATGCTACTAAATAACGAATGGGTCAACTAGGAAATCAAAGAAGAAATGAAAAGATACATGGAAACAAATGAAAATGGAAACACAGTGGTCTAAACCCTTTGGGATGCAATAAAAGAGGTCCTAAGAGAGAATATATAGCAATACAAGCCTACCTCAAGAAGCAAGAAAAATCTCAAACAGCCTAACTTTATACCTAAATGAGCTAAGAAAAAAAAAAAACAGCCTAAAGCCAGTAGAAGGAAGGAAATAATAATTAGAGCAGAAATAGATGATAAAGAAACTAAAAGAACAATAGAACACATGAATGAAACCAGAAGCTGGTTCTTTGAAAAAATTAATAAAATTGATAAACTTGTAGCCAGACTTAGCAAAAGGAAAACAGAAAGGACCCAAATAAATAAAATTATAAATGAGAGAGAAGAAATAATGACTGACACCACAGAAATGCAAATAATCATAAGAGAATATTATGAAAAACTATATGCCAATAAACTGGACAAGCTAGAAGAGAAGGATAAATTCCTAGAAACAGATGAATCACCAAAACTGAATCAGGAACAGATAGAAAATTTGAACAGACTGATAAACAGTAAAGAAATTGAATCAGTAACCAAAAAAACCC